ACACACACACACACACACACACACACACACACACACACACACACACAACGGAGTATTACTCAGCAATCAAAAAAATGAAATCTTGCCATTTGCAACAACGTGGATAGAACTAGAGGGCATTATGCTAAGCGAAACTAGTCAGAGAAAGACATATATGACTTCACTCATGTGGAATTTAAGATATAAAACAGATGAACATAAGGGAAGGGAAGCAAAAATAATATAAAAACAGGGAGGGGGACAAAACAGACTCTTAAATACAGAGAACAAACTGAGGGTTGCTGGAGGGGCTGTGGATGAGGGGATGGGCTAAATGGGCAAGGGGCATTAGGGAAGACACTTGTTGGAATGAGCACTGGGTGTTTTACATAGGGGATGAATCTATAATCTCCTAAAATCATTATTGCACTATATGCTAACTAACTTGAATATAAATAAAAATAAATTAATTAAAAAAAGATTATAAGGTTGTTGCTTAATATTGTTGAGTTTATACCTGTATGTTTTTTTCTTTTATGCTGAGTATTTGTTCCTAAACATATTAATATAAACATTTATTTGCTTTATTTCATAACATGTTTAATGGCTTAAAAAATTATTATCAATAAGACTACTGCAATGCAGTTTAAGATATTTATTTGCTTCTGTTGTCAGTAAGATACATCCTATAAGGGATATAGTAAAAATGTTACTTGAAAGAATTCTCTGTAATACATAGTTGATACAGTGAGATTAATTTATTTCAGTTTGCTCTTCATTTTTTAAGGGATTTCTATTTTGATTTTTTTTCATTTTTGATTTGTTTTTTAATTACTAGGCCTTTTCTTTTCCCTTATTTATTTCAGAATCAGATGCTGAGGGTCCCCAGGAATTGGCAACAGGGCGCAGAAGGACAGTAGGGATACTAGATATGGGAGGAGCCTCTCTCCAAATTGCTTATGAAGTTCCTACCTCAGCCTCTGTCCTTTCTCCGAAACAGGTATTTTACCTTTTAGGGATATTGGGTTGCTACAAATGCCAGTATTTGGGAAAGAAGGTCACCGTTTTTTGACTTAGACCAATTTGCATGGATCCAAATATTTGTTCAGATACTCACTAGCTTACATTATCTTGGTTAGGTTACTCTCTGAACTTTAATCTCCTCCTGTATGAAAAGAGAATAATAATAGTATCCACTTCATGAAGTTGGGAAGATGAAATGACACCATGTGTGTAAAGCACTTGACAAACTTTCCAACATGTGCTAAATGTTTAATGTATTTTAGCAGTTATACTCCCTGTCTCCTGGGACTGCTAGAAGATTAAACATGATAATTCATATAAAGCCCAGAGTACAGTATTTGGTACATACTTGTTCATTAAATGTTATTTCCTTTCCCTTACTTGTGATTCCATTCTTGTGCTTCTAAATTCCTTACCTGACTAGAATGTAAAGAATATATGTATCCTGAGGAAAGAGTTTTATCATAGAGAGGAAAAAGAGCTGCAGACAGTTTTTAAACACCTGTTGTGTGCAAGGAATGAGACATATCGTACTGCCCCCAAAAACTTATTGTAATCTATCAGTGAAGACAGCCTGTGATAACAGGCAGACTATGGAAGCACTAAAATTTGATCTAAACCAGGGTTTCTCATCATTGGCACTATTGACAGTTTGAGCTGGATAAATCTTTGTTGTCGAGAGCTGTCCTGTGCATAATATGATGTTTAGCAGCATCCCTGGCCTCTACCAGATATCAGTAATGTCCCCACTCTACTCGTCTACTACATGAATGGGAGTCATGCTGGCTTCCTGGAAAGTAAGGTATTTACCTGGGCCCTGGATGATAAGTAGGCTTTTGCATTTGAAGGTTGAGGAAGGCCACCTTTATGGAGGAAATAGTATGCACAAGGGCACAAAGAAAGCAGCAAAGAGCTCAGAATGTCCAAGAAACGTTGAATAGCCTGTTGTAGTATAGAATTTTCCAGTATAGTAAGTCTAGGAAGATAAGATGAAGTTAAATTGTAAGGAGTCTTGGGTGCTATGCTAGGGAATTTTACTTTTATTTCTATAGATGGAGGAGAATCAGCAAAGGTTTTTGAGTAGGGCAGTCATATGGGCCTCAGTTTCATCATCTATGAAATAATTAAATTCTGAAGGTCCTTTTCAGCTCCATTATGTGACTGATAATAGATCCAATCTGTTTTTTTAGGAAAATAATTTTGTTGTCTGTATGAGAAAGAAATGTAGGTCAGGGAACCTTGGGTAAGAGGTAATAAGGGCTGAACTAGGCAATGTAAGTGGAAATGGAATGGAGGGCACAGATCTCAGGGGTATTTTGGAAAAAAACAAAACAAAACACTGTAATGTAATGGTGTGGGTAGGGCAGAGAGGGATACTGAGTGATGCTGAGGTTCCCACCTAGGTACCTGGTAGGGTAAGGAATTCAGTCACTGAGAGAGACCCCAGGGTAAAGGGTGGGTTGATGCTAAGCAAATGAGTATGGTCTGGAAGTTTGGGTGAGAACAATTTTCTGGTCTCTAGCCCAAGTCCTTGTAACCAATGAATTCAGTTTTACGTATGATGAATTTGAGATCTCTGAGGAGCATATATGCCTAAATATCCAGCAAGATTGTTGGGAATGTGGGTTTAACAATCAGAAGGGGTCTGTGCAAGGGTTGGAAATTTGGGGAACGAGGTTGTAAGACATTTTAGTCTTTATTTGTTAGTATGTAGTCAACAGGTAAAATGAAGGCATTGTTCTGGTAAGTGGCACTTATCCTTAAAGTCTTAAATAAAGGACTTTTTTGTTTGTGCAGATTTAGAAAGCAACACTAGTATAGAAAGTATACTTGCAAGCAACAAGTTAGATGTAGCCTGGTAATATAACGGTCTTACAGATGGATTTTAGGGCTTGGTAAATAACGAAAGGAACAATGAGACAAAGTACAATAGTGCTTTAAAAAATATAAGTAATCCTAAGTGCCTAAAGTGTTTTTTTTGGTACAATTCACAAAGTTGTGCACATTCAAAAAGTAATGCAACCACCACTATCGAATTCTAGAACATTTTCGTTACCCTGAAAAGAAACCCCACATTCATTAGCAGTCACTTGCCATTCTCCTCCCTCTAGCTCCAGCAACCACTAATCTGCTTTATGTCTCCTGTGGATTTGCCTCTTCTGAGTACTTCACATAAATGGAATCATACAATATGTGACGTTTTGTGTCTGGCTCCTTTCACTTAGCAAAATATTTTCAGGGTTCATCATCAGAACTTCATTTCTCTTCATGGTTGAATAACCATATGACCATGCCATATTTTGTTTATGCATTCATCAGATGATGGACTTTCGGATTTTTATTTCCAGTTTTTGACTATTATGGATAATGCTGCTGTGAACATTCACATACACATTTTTGATTAGTCATACTTTTCAGTCCTCTTATATATATACTTAGTGAAATTGCTGGGCATGATAGCATTTTCATTAATTAAAAATAAATACATTCAAAACAATAATTTAATTTTACAACAGTATGTACAAATATATGTTACATTAAGCACATTAGAATGTGGGGGTAGGAATGGGGGTGAGTATGAGGATAAAAGGAAGTAAATAGACAAAACAGAAATGGGGCTTTGCCATGGTAATGAGCTGTGAACTGAGGAGTATGATTAACTCAAACCATGGACTGAAGTCAAAAAAAAAAAAAAAAAAAAAAAATAGACCATCTTTTCATTAGAGGTACTGTAAAATGGAACTTTCCCAGTCCTAGTCCCTGTCATAGGATACATTAAAGCTTCTTGAATAGAATTGTAAAAACCCATAGAATAGGTCTCAGGATGATCTTCCAAATTCCTGACATTTATTTTTATCAAAAGATTTTTTCTTTCCTGATGATAAAAGTAGTACATTCTCATTTTGGCAAACTGGAAAATCTGAAAAGTACATGCAAGAAAATGACATTGTCTGTAATGATTCTGCCTTGTATAGAACTACAGATCCTGTTGTTGTCTCTAATTTGGTATTTAGTCTCTGTACTTTTTTGTTCAGGCTTGTCATTTTGTGTCTTTGTTGAAAATAATGTTATGAGAATGAAAGAATGCTATAAGATATTTTAAAGGGTAGTTACAGCACACGAAGACTGGTATATTGGTAACGTCAGAGCTCTCTGTAAATCAACCAAAATGAAAATTCCCTTTTTTCTCTTTACATTGTATTATAGGAAGAAGAAGCAAAGATCCTGCTGGCTGAATTCAACCTGGGCTGTGATGTGCAACACACTGAACATGTGTACAGGGTTTATGTCACAACCTTCCTGGGTTTTGGAGGCAACTTTGCCCGGCAGCGCTATGAAGATCTTGTGCTGAATGAAACCCTTACCAAAAATAGGTACTTTGGACATGGGGATCTGTGCCTCTGAAATAGAATGTTGTCAGGGTGCAGATATTAGGAAGAAATACTCATATTCTACTAAGATAGGTATGTCCTTGCTTCCTCCTCCTTCCTGACCACCCTCGTCAATGGGGTAGTGTCACTACTAATAGAGACCCTCCATTGGTATTCCCACTTGGTCTAGGTTAGGGTGCATTCTGGTCTTTGCTCTTAGGACTCAGAAAAGTATAGCAGCTTACTATGGTGATCTCTTGCTGTGTCCTTTTTCAGGAATGGTATCACAGGATAAGTGAGGCTAAGTTATTAATTTACAATGTGCAGTATAATGTAGTTCTTAGCAGTTCCCTCTTGGTAGAAGACATATTTGTTCACTTACAGTGGAGTTGCATCTTACGTGGGAGTGAGGTTCCATAGTGCGCATAAAAGATAAAAAGCATGTGAAGTTAGAAATAATCTTCACATTGTTCTCTCATTAAGTCCAGAATAGCCAGTTTTTCCTGCAGCGTGGACAGATCACTGATTCTTCATTTGGCTACCACATGAAGTATTTAGACCATAATGTACAAATAGTTGTGGGTTTTTTTTTTCTTTAGTATTTAAAATTATTGTATCACTACGTACGTTGAAGAAAGTATAAGACAGCAGAGGTTTTTTTCACCATAAAATTACTTACCCTATTTGTTTTGCTAGAAATACTAACTTGAAGAAATACCGCTATTGTATTAATTACAATTATGAATATGGCGATTTGTAATAATTGGTCCACAGCAGTTGTCTTATTTGGGACCATAATAAAGAAAATACTGTCTCCTGATTCTTTTTTGTTTTTGTAAGTCTCAATTACCAAGAGGTCAAGGTGTTTTAGGAGACTCCTGTTCTACCGGATGATGGACGAATGCCTTAAAACCAAGCAGTGTTTGCATTCTGAAAATACTCTTCAGTCTGTACAGATGTTGCTTGGGCTGTGGAGCTCAGATCGCTCCTGCTGGCAGTCCAAAGAACAATTATGAAAGTTTTACACCAGTTTTGTTGTGTTCCATCTTTGCTAGCTGCTGTGTTTCCTTTTCCATTTCCTTCCTTTGTTGTTCTGCTGCCCTTTTCTCTTTGTCTGCTGTTTCCTGCCTCAGAACTTGCCGGGCTGTATCATGGCTGCCACCATGCATCAATATGTGCATTGGTATTTCTTGCCAACTTCCTAATTGAGAAGACTGATCATTCATCTTGTGTAGTTGCTACTCTACTAGAGAAACCCATGCTTCCTGGGATGTCAAAATGTAATGGTTCTTTCTTCTTAATATGACTTTCTGAGTTTTTTTAATGGTGTCACATCCTTAAAATAGGTTCCAATTGTTCCAGAACATTTTGTTGTGTTGCCACGTTCCCAATCCCTCCTTCAGTCTTTACATCATGGAGGCTTCTTCATCCCAGGAAGTCCACCCTTCAACGTCTGTCTGTTTAGGAACTGATGAATAATTAACTGCAGTTGACAAAGTTATTTGGTCTCCACTAATTTCTGTCCTCGGCCAGATTTAATCTCTTCAGGAACGGGAATATTGTTGCTGGGCAAATGCAGACTTGAAACAGCCAGAACCATGTAATGGCCAAGATGGGGATTAGAACTTGCCCCAACCTGTCCCTCCCCACGTGGGGCCAGGCAGGTCCTTCCTATGGCCAGCCATTGTCACTGACCACTGACACATCCTTCTCCTCAGGAAACTCCTCCAACCTTCTCTCTTTACCTTCTCCCAGGTGTTTTGCTAAACGTTAGAACCACACTCAGTGTGGTGAGATCTTGGCACTTCTAAGAAGCAGTGTAATGAAGACTAGATTGAGACCAGCAGATTAATATCTCTAGTTTCACTATACATTGGGAAATATACATGTTGATTAAAAGGTTGAACAAAATTTGATCACTGCCATATTTCTCTCCTTATCTTCCTCCTTCCTCCCTTCCTTCCTTCCTTCCTTCCTTCCTTCCATCCATCCACCCACCCACCCTTCCTTCCTTCCTTCTTTCCTTTGTTTCTGCTAAATTGAATTTGCTTAAGTTAAATGTTCATGTGTTGTGACTGCATGGTTGATACTCCATGCTTGTTTCTAGGGATGCCATATAAAACAAGATATCTGTGAAGCACATTCTTTGACCAAGTTTTTTTTTTTTAATTTTTTTTTCATCGTTTTTTTTTTATTTATTTTTGGGACAGAGAGAGACAGAGCATGAACGGGGGAGGGGCAGAGAGAGAGGGAGACACAGAATCGGAAACAGGCTCCAGGCTCCGAGCCATCAGCCCAGAGCCTGACGCGGGGCTCGAACTCACGGACCGCGAGATCGTGACCTGGCTGAAGTCGGACGCTTAACCGACTGCGCCACCCAGGCGCCCCAGACCAAGTTTCTTATAGGCATTTTTTAAAGAGGTTGAATACATTAGTGATGTGTTTTGTTTGTTATTGTCATTGTGGCAGGTTGCTGGGCCAGAAGACAGGTCTGAGTCCCGACAATCCATTTCTGGATCCCTGCCTGCCCGTGGGACTCACAGATGTGGTGGAGAGGAACAGCCAGGTGCTGCATATCCGAGGAAGAGGAGACTGGTCTTCTTGCGGGGCAATGCTGAGCCCCCTGCTGGCTCGCCCCAACACCAGCCAGGCCTCGCTGAATGGAATCTACCAGTCACCAATTGACTTCAATAACAGCGAGTTCTACGGTTTCTCTGAGTTTTTTTACTGTACAGAGGATGTGTTACGCATCGGTGGCCGTTACCATGGGCCAACGTTTGCCAAGGCTGCTCAGGTAAATTATTTATAGTAAAGATGATTCATACCAGCAGCAGCCGTTTCTCTATGCCTAACTTTGTGCCAGATGCTGTGCAAAGGGCTTTGTATACCTGATTTCACTGATTTCTTCATAGGAGGAGCTCTGTGAACCTTCATTTTACAGATGAGAAAGTGGACTCAAGTTAAGGAGCACACTGTGCTGTACTATCTTCTAGTTCATTAAACTTAGGTTTCCATGTATGTCCTGATCACCCAAATTATCACCCAGCGCCAAAATCTTTGTGGTGGCTAATGGTTTTTCCTCTAGCTTTCCAGTAATCTTGTTTAATGTTTGTGGTCAAAAGTGTCATCCCCAGATATCTTTCCCCTCACTTGGTATTCTCAGTTGTAATGTGCTTTTGGAAATGAGGTCACACAGGTGGGCAAGTCCACTTTGATTTTCTTGGTTTGTCAGGAGGCCAGAGTGGTATATAGAGTCACTTGGAATATTAAAAAGATATTGGGAAAAGCAATGTCAGGGGTACTATTTAAAACTAAAATGCAGAAGAAATAAAATTTCATTTAGAGCATATATAGGACATTAGCAGCTTATAGGCTTAAATCATTAGTTACCTGAACAGGTAAAAGTTTCTCTAGCTTTCTATAGCTCCTTTAATTTAGATTCATCTCTGAAGGTTTGCCTGTCTTTCTGATCCTGTAGAAGAGAAACTTATGGGAAGAATTTGACCTTGTATTTTATTCTTTTCTTTCTGCTTTGTTACAGTTCTCTAGGGTTCTCTGGATAGAAGACTTCCAATTTAATAATGTCTGTACTATGTGTATTATTCTGTTCCCTGAAGGCAGTCCCTAAGAAATATTGAGGAAAACCTGGTTTGTATTTGTTCTTTCCTCTCCAGCCTCCAGGAATACACTTATATTCCTTTTCCTTTCTAGCATCTAGGGCTGCCTAACTGTTCGTGGCCTACGTCTTTCTCTCATTTTAAAACTTCTTCAAATTCTGTTCCCTTGAACACCAAAGGGCTCAAGTTACTGCTTACTCAAATTGCCAGTGGCTTCATATGTTCTTTTTCCCAGGTGAAAGAGATAATTTTGTTCCCTTACTTTTTTTTTTACTTTGACTCAACTGTTATTTTCCCAGTGATACCTTCCCTAGCAACCATATCCAAAACTGCAGCCCTCCCCAATTTCACCTATTTCCCTTTCCTGCTTTATTTTTCCATGAGCATTTATGTCATGTAACACACTCTATATGTAAATGTGTACGTGTATACATGTCTTATGTATGCATGCATGTATATGGTTATTGTCTGTTTTTTATCACTTGAATGTGAGCTTCATGAGGACAGAAAGTTTTGTCTGTTTTGTTCACTGCTAGATCTCCCTGGCACCTAGAAAAGCACCTGGCACAAAGTAGACATTCAGAGGAAAGGAATGGTTCTTTGGGGAGAACTATAGCAGGGGAACAGGCCAGTGGTAGAATTTGACCATTCTGTTCCATCTGCTTTACTTCCTCATCTTACATAGTGTAGAATGAGGCTCCCTTTGGCTTTGATGTTGCTATTTCTGGTCCTAACCTTACCCCTTTCTGAAGCCAAAGAGGCTCAGGAGCCGTGTTGGGCTGGCTTTGTACTGGACTTGAGGTGATGGGAATAAAAAGGAGACCCTCAGGAACCTGTGTTCTGGCACTTGCTTTGCACAGTGTCCAGGGAATGAATGTGGCATTTCTGTTTTCCTTTGTCAACTAGTCACCCACAAGTAACTTTAGACATGGAACAGCTGAGACTGTAGGGAAATTAGTTGTGCTTTAATTTCATGTTCCTCTGTTTCTCTTTGGTTGTTCCAGGATTACTGTGGCATGGCTTGGTCAGTCCTAACTCAGAGATTCAAGAATGGTCTCTTTTCATCACATGCAGATGAGCATCGACTCAAGTGAGTAGCTTCCTTTTTTCCCTAAGATTGGCCTGAAAACGCAGATGGCAGATTATAATGAGAGAGAGAGAGAGAACAAGCGAGAATACAGATGGAATTTTCTGTTGAAGGAGAATCAAGAATTTGATTTTTAGATTTTGATTTTCTGAGTGATAAGGGCCAAAATAGTGAGCCTATTTTAGTGAAGCCAGGGAAAACCAGGGTTACCAAAAGGCTCATTCCAAATGGTTTGAAATCAAAAGTGGTGTTTTTTTTTAAAGCTTTTAATTAAAATATTGAACATGCAGAAAAGTGGAAAGAACAGTAACATAAATCCTCACCCAGCTTCAACAAATACCAATATTTTGCCAGTTTGGTTCATCAGTCCTCCCATTTTGTAAACATTTTAGTTAATACATTTTAACCATAAACAAAAATAGAATGGTATAATGAATTTCTGTATACCTATCACCCTGCTTCTCTGCTAACAGCTACCAACTTCTGGCAAATCTTATTTCATCTCTTTTCCCACCCTCTTACACAATTGGGTTCTTTTGAAACAAATCCCAGACATCATGTAATTACAGCAGGCTCCTTAAAAATAAGGACTGTTATAAAAAGAAAGAGAAAAACACAGCAATATCATTATGGCATACAGGTGTTCCTGCACTTTTGTGGTAAACATGAAGATAAAGTAGGCTCAGATTTGGCTCCACCTAGAGGCGAGGAAGGTGAACTGGGGAGAGAGATCCTTTTTGACATCCAATGGGAGTATGTGGAAAGTATTCTTTTTTCTTCTTCTTCTTCTTCTTAAAAAAAAATATTTATTGTTTTGTCACACAGATATCAGTGTTTTAAATCGGCTTGGATGTACCAAGTTCTTCATGAAGGATTCCACTTTCCCTATGACTACCCACACCTGCAGACAGCCCAGCTGGTATATGACCGAGAAGTTCAGTGGACACTGGGAGCCATTCTGTATAAAACACGATTCTTACCCCTCAGGTAAAGTGGACTGAACTGGCATCTTGAACTTAGAGGATATTGGTGTCTCAGAATAGGTTTCTTAAGTGACCACTCTCCCTCAAAAATGCATCCAAATTAACTCCCTTTATTACTATCCCGTGAACTATTATTACTAACCAGTTATGTTGAAACAGAAAGAAGGTTGAGAATTTAATCCGGAGTCTGTTCTTTAGCTTCGCAATTTCAGGAATGCAGTTTTGTTTATGCATAATAAATCATTCTTTAGGATTGAGCTCTTACTAACCAGTTCTAAGATTCTTACTGATAAACCAAAATTCATTCTTAGGTTATTGTAGAAAACATCTGACTAGAGAGCTAGGGAATGCTGGCTGTATAGAGCAGTCTTTCCTAATGGGTAGAGTCACTCTAGACATCATGTCATTGACTTGGAAGGCTTTTGGTGGGCCAGAATTTAGAACAAAGCACACAAGATGCTTTTAGGGGGGTATTGTCACTAAGCTATGATAGCCTGATGTCTTGCTCTATGTATATAAGATATTTGGGATAATGTTTGGGTACTCTCTCCCCTGTATTATTTCGGATAAACTAAAATGAATTTTTAATCTTTGCTGCCTGTTTCTTTAAACCCAATATTGTCAGAAACCAGGTAGCTGATAGATGTGAGAGAAGTGGGGAGCTGGAGAGTACGTGCTCTAGATGAAGGGCTGACTCCTATCATGCGGAAGTGCTGTCCCAGCATCTGCCAGTTGTCATTTGTCAGGACAAGCCAGAAATCCATATTTTATAAGCAGCGTTTCAGTTTGGAGATTCACATTTAGAGAAAACACTGCAGGTCGAACCAAACAAAAACGGATCCAGTATCTGGACCTCCAAACTGCAGCTTCTGTTCTAAGCAGGCAGGCTCCTGCACTTTGGTTTACATGTCTCCTCTTTTTTTTCCAGATTATAAAACAGTTGATCAGGCAACCACTTTCTTTAGATATATCCTAAAGAAAGCACAGGAAGCACAGCCAATTTTTTTAAGGATTTCAATACACTCTGATTTCTTGATTGGATTTAGGGACCACCCTATTCTTGTTAGAACCATAGTTACAAACTGTATGTATGTATTTACAGAATGGCATGGGACCACTGTTAAGACAATCAGTATTATAGATGATCAGTCTTATCTCACTGTTCACTTTTTTGTCTTCTCATTTTGTCCCCATTCTGGAGGACGTAGGCCTGTGAGGAGAAAGAAAGTACAGGAGGAATCACATAGGCCTGTGAGGAAAAGAAAGTACAGGAGGAATCACATAGCAGTCCTAGGGCTAGAGACGTTCTTCAGCTTTGCTTGGTCTGTGGAACTGGTATCAGCATATTTGCATGGATAGAATAAATGATATAACACCACTGGCCTTTTAAATCCGCATGAATGTTTTTCTTTGAAATTAACGTTACTTGTCACCTTCAAACTCTTGCCTAGGGATCTACGGCAAGAAGGTGTCCGGCAGGCCCATGGTAGCTGGTTCCGTCTCTCCTTTGTCTACAACCACTATCTCTTCTTCGCCTGTATCCTGGTGGTGCTACTGGCCATCATCCTGTACCTTCTGCGGCTACGCCGGATTCACCACCGACAAACTAGAACCTCAGCTCCATTGGACTTGCTGTGGATTGAGGAGGTGGTGCCCATGATTGGGGTGCAGGTAGGGCCATGAGGCCGGACAAGGACATAGAAAGCTCGAGTACCCCAGGGTTACTGCCCATTGACTTCCACCACTTTCTTGTACCGGCCTCAGATGCTGCTTTGCCTGACCTTGGGATATTTGGCCTTGGAATTTCTACCTTAATATCTACTTTAATTCCTTCTCAGTATCCAGGTCCTCTTCTCTAAGAGAAACCGGAATTTAGTCTGTGAAGAACTAAATAATGAGAGTTTGGTGCTAACAAAGAGGACCAACCTTAGTCCAACTGAAGCATGCTTCTACTCCTTTATCTGAGAGGTCTAGTGTGTTCCTGGCATCTAGACTTTCCCCCTTGCTAAAGCATGAAGTTTGACATTCGGCAAACTGGAAGCCTGGTTGAAACCAAATTTGGAGCATCTGATACAAAGCCGAAGACATTCCAGCAAGTGCAGCAGCCCCTTCTTTCTCTGTAACAGAGATATCATTTATGTGGAGATCCACACCCTTTCATAGGGATCCAAGATATTTGCATTTCGCTGAAACAGATATGAACTTCCAGGCAACCAAAATAACATAGTTTCTTTGCTTACTTGACAAAGAAGCCGTTATGAGTGTGGTCCAAGATCCCTGACGTAGTGTTGCTGATGTTGATTATTATATGATTTTAAAAGGGTTTAGAACCCCTTCTAAATGAATGGTCAATCAAAGATTTTGACAGTATCTTATGTGATACCTGGTATGACCAGGATAGAAAACGTTTCTATGACTATATGCCTCACCGGCTGTTTGGGCATTAATTTTTCTTTTTGAGCCTTAAGTGTGCTTGTAAGATGGAGAAACTGATAGGGTTGGAGATCTGGATTTGTCTGGTTTTAAGTCACTGTCTCTAGGCCTATTTTTATGAGCCCCTTTACAGGAAAACAAACAAAAAAAAGAGTTCTTTTATTTCACTACGGTCAATATGTAGTTTGGGAAGGGGGGTGTATTTGTTGTTTTTAAAGAAGGAAAGAACAACAGTATCAGGAGAATGGGCAAAGGCAATAAAATCCAAGGTCTTAATTTATTAATGTTTTCTGAGAAATAGAAATTTTCCCAATTTGACTCTTGGAATGTCTGAAAAGAAGCAAATTCTAAACTTTGAAAAACATAGATATATCTGTTAGTAAGCCACGTGGCGTCTTTCAGAACATTTGTAAAGAGTTTGCTCAGTCACAGACCACATTTCCATTAATGAGGAGAGAAGAAAGCCATACGATTACATTTTAATCCACTACCCTTCAGGAGCTTTGTTCCTCCTCTACATGTAGCCTTTAAATTGCATGAGGATTTCTTTTTCATCAACTCGCATCTTCCCCTATGGGATCTTCTTCATACTTCATCCTTCCCTGTATGCAGCCTTGAATGTCCTGCCCAAGAATATGCTCCCAGACTTGAAATAGCTTTCTTTTCTGTCACTTTATTTTTACGATTAGATGAGTAGAGGGAATCATCTCTGCCTTTAATGGGGAAAAAGTTGGAAATATTAAAACATAAATTTCCACACTGGGAACCGGAAGGAATTAAATGCCTCATAAAACAGAGAAAAATAAGCCGAGATCCTCCTAGAAATAAATTGAGATGAATATAAGTATGCTGTTAGTTGGTAGGTGAAGAGATGATGAGTCTTAAATTGTTTTCAAATTAAATAAAAATGGATCTAGCAAAAGAGTCTTATAGTTCCCTGTGGAAATATTTTTTACTTTTCATTAGGGTTCATGTCACAACAATTTCCTTTAATTTTTAAGACTTCTAAATTTCCTTGATCTTCTTTGACTTCTTATCTTTGTGTCACTGCAAGTGAGCCCTCGCCTTGTGATGGCTGCTTATAAATAATGTCCGAATGTGTTTTTTGCTAGCCAATGCCTCCTGAGGTACTCTTTCTTTTTCCCTCATCTTGGTTTCCAAATACTATTTTTTGGTTTTCTTGTAAGATCTGGTCAATGATCTTGTCAAAAGCTACCTAATTGGCTAATAGTGATCACATTCGTGTGCTCAAAATTTAGCTGAAGCAGGGAGGAGGTGGTGATGAGTCCAGTTTGAAAGCTCTTATTAATGAAGTTATTCTTCCTCCTGGTTATAACATTTGTTAAGCATTTAGTGTGTATCATATACTCTTAAGAATTTGTGTATATTATTTAATCATTATGACAGCCTTTCAGATTGATACTACTTTTTGTGTTCTTTTTATAATTGAGAAACTCAGGATACCCTATGCTTATCATTTTTCAATGTAAATGTATTTCTTACTCTTAATTTATTCTAAATAGTTTTTGAGTTTTCGTTTAGTGTGTTATATCCTGTTTATTACTTTGATCTTATGGGATCTGGGCTTGTCCTTGTTACCAGGAGTATGACTTCCCAGAAACCCATGGTAGAAATGTAAGATTTCTACCATATCCCTCAGATTTTTACCATATCCCTCAGAAAAACTAATATTTGTTGTTGATATTGGTTCCTGTGCTTCTGTCATTTGTTCCCAATTAATAATTTTGCATGATATCTCATTAGCGAGAAACATAAGCCATTTGTTCTCCAAGAGCCAATTACTTCTACATATTGCTGTCTCCTAAGAGTCTGTCTCCCTTATAGAACCAGTCTACCTTGCCTCTACACCTCTTTTTGCCCTCGGTTGTTAAAGATTTTTTAAGATCTCTATTGCATTTCTGCACTTTTCAGTAGTCTCCTTGTGAAGATAATTACAGTTTCATTAAATTCACATCCCACTCATTCCTTTGAATCTTACCAGCCAGTCTTCTTGATACCAGAAAAATGAATCTGAACTGCTTTAGTACTTTTATCATTAGTGAGACAGGTCACAGATGTCAAAATCAGAGTCCGTGCTGATAGGAGTTGTGATGCTTTATTAGCCTTACGATGGCACAACCCATCACTTTTCTCTGACTTCTTCTTACTAGGACATAATGAAAATAGGTATAATACTCAGTTATCTAGCATTACATTGACTTAAGTTGCAGTTAACTCTAAGCCAAATTTTACCATCTTTGTCTCTGTACCTTAACTCCTTGAATTGACTTTCCTTGGTATAGGGAATTTAGTCACTTTCCAACAACCTTGTGTTTATCCTTTAATGTCATCCAAAGGATTCTGCCTCCCTCTCCTCAGCCTGACAGCTTTCTTTAACTTCCAGGGCCTTAGGCTGTGATTATTAAAATGTGGTTGATTGAGTCTGCCATGCATCTGTTAAGCTCATCTTTTTAGTTATTAACATTTATTATCACATCCACATTTGTGTTGTTGAAGTATAGTTGACATATACTTGTTTCAAGTGTGGAACATAATGACTCTATTTGTATACACTGCAACATGATCACCACAATGAATCTAGTTTCCCCCATCACCATATAAAGTTATATGACATGCAACACAGTGTTATTGACTGTAGTCACCATGCTGAACATTACATCCCATGACATGACTTATTTATTTTATGACTGGGGTTTGTACCTCTTGACTCCCTTCTTCCATTTTGCCAGTCCTCCTTCTCCCCTGACTCTGGCAACCTCCAATCTGTTCTCTGCATTTATGAGTTTTGTTGTTTTTTTGGTTCCACATATAAATGAAACCATGTGGTGTTTGTCTTTCTCTGACGTATTGAACGTAACACCCACAAGGTCCATCCATGTCACAAATGGCAAGATTTCATTCTTTTTTATGGCTGAATAGTATCCCTGTGTGTGTGTGTGTGTGTACACATCTTCTTTATCCATTCATCCATCAATGGACACTTTGGTTGTTTCCTTATCTTGGCTATTGTGCATAATGCTGCAGTGAACATAGGAGTGCACATGTCTTTTTGAATTATTGCTTTTGTTTTTTTTTTTTTGTCACCATTTTTAAAAAATTTTCATATTAAATATAATTTATTGTCAAATTGGTTTCCACACAACACCCAGTGCTCATCCCAACAGGTGCCGTCCTCAATGCCCATCACCCACTTTCCCCTCTCCCCCACCCCCCATCAACCCTTGGTTTGTTCTCAGTATTTGAGAGTCTCTTATGGTTTGCCTCCCTCCCTCTCTCTGCTTTCATTTTCTTCAGATAAATAGCCAGAAATGAACTTGCCAGAAATAACCAGAAATGGAACATGGTAGTTCCATTTTTAGTTTTTTGAGGAACCTCTCTACTGTTTGCCATTGTGGCTGTACCAATTTACATTCCCACCAAAAGTGCACAATAGTTCCCTTTTCTCTACATCCTCACCGACACTTGTCATTTCTTATCTTTGTGATAATAGCCATTCTGATAGGTGTGAGAGGATATATCTCATGGTTTTGATTTGCATTTCTCTGATGATTATTGAGCATCTTTCATGTACCTGTTGACCATCTGCATGTCTTCTTTGGACAAATGTCTGTTCAGGTCCTCTGTCCATTTTTAAATCAGATTGTGTTTGTTACTAAGTTGTAGAAGTTCTTTTTATAATTTGGATATTAACCCCTTATCAGATTTATGATTTGCAAATATCTTCTGCCATTTAGTATCTTGCCTTTTTATTTTGTTGATGGTTTCCTTTGCTGTGCAGAAAGCTTTTTAGTTTGATATAATCCCATTTGTTTATTTTGGTTTTTATAGTCGTTGCCTTTGGAGTTAGATCCAAAAAATTATCACCAAGAATGATGTCAAGGAGCTCACTGCCTATGTTTTCTTCTAGGAGTCTTATGGTTTCTGGTCTTATATCCAGATCTTTAATCCATTTTGAGTCAATTGTTGTGTATGGTGTAAAATAGTGGTCCAGTTTCATTCTTTTCCATGTGGCTGTCCAGTTTTTCCAACACCATTTATTGAAGAGACTTTCGTTTCCCCACTGTGTATTCTTGCCTCCTTTGTTGGAAATTAATTGACCATACATTCAAAGATTTATTTCTGGGCTCTCTATTCTGTTGTATTGATCGAGCGTCCATTTTTATGCCAATACCATATTGTTCTGTTTACTATAGCTTTGTGATACAGTCTGAAATCAAGGGGCATGATGC